GATGGGATGGAAGGAAGAAGAGAAGCAAAGAGTGATTCACAGGCAGAGCCTATTTCTCACAGTTTTTGTTGCCTTATGGTTGCAAGCACTGTCACCAATCTTTGCATTTTGTTATTCTCTCATGACACTTGTTTAATCAGCTACCATCTCTCCTATGGACTTTTTAATGTCTACAGTCTCAGATCAGCACAACCCTGCCCTCCAGCACCATCAGCAGCAGGAGCAGCAGAAACCCCTCAACAGCAACATTGTACCCATCAGGTAAAACATAGGCTACGTTTGCTTTGCCTTGTCGCCACCTCACAACAGTGATATAGTATGATGCGATCCCATATTAGATTCTTGATGAATGTGTGTTGCTGTTATTCAGCCTGGTTCAATGTGCCCCTTTTTAACTTTGAGCACCCACCCCTTTAAACGTCTCTGCACGGCCCTGGTGTTAAGAGTGAAATATTAGAGCCGAGTCATGTTCCGCTATCAGTGTTACAACAGATGCATTAATAACTTCAAATTACAGCAGCTTGAGGCGGGGTCACTTTAAATGCTGTCTATTTGGCCATTTTACTTGAGTAATTCAAAAAGAAATGTATTTAATAAACTGACTGTAGTGTAGTTTAACATAACTTCACAATATTTCTACCATTGTTGGAGTACAGTCTTCTTACCTCATTATTAAGGAGGTCTCTGCAGGATATTTGAAATTAGTCATTCATGACGTTATTTTGGTCCACAGTCATTTTTAGCACGCTTTCTAAGCCGTTTAAGAGCCTCTCCTAAATCACGCCCAACCAGAACCGTACACCTTGTATCCTTGTTGTTCCATCAGCCACTGAACCAGCCTCATGACGTATTCATGCCATGGTGATTTGTCACAAACTGTAAATTCCAGTAACTCTTAGGTAATAAAAGAGCACAGCAGGCTTCCTGTTACTCTAGCACCGTTGTCCGTGCACAGTTACTTGAATGATCGGCTGTGCGCTGTATCATTAAAAACTCTCAGTGAAACTCTGCAATGGCCAAAGTGCTAGAAGAGTCTTGCAGCGTCCTTTTTTCCCCTGGTGCTGTTAAAGCAACAGTATGGAATTTTTAAGGAGGAAATGTCAGATTGCTTCACCTCATATTTTCTTGCTGGACCTGTTCTGGTGTGACCAATAACCTTTTATTGTGTCTAATATCGGCCAACTCCAGCTAGAGTTTTGCATTTTAAGTCGGTTCAGAGTTTAACACCTTCAGTGTGAAATATTTTCACATCATTATCACTTAGAGGCTCGGTAGCTGTTACACAGCAGGCTTTCCGTCTGCTTTAAGCTGCTGGATTTAATTCCATATTCTCCTCTTGTTTGGCAAATGTCTCAAAAATGAAGGATCTGTCGAGCTATGCATTTAGGGCTACGTGGGGGAAATTAACAAGACGAATGAATTGTGCTTTCGGTGATGCTAAATAATGAGCAAACAAATATTTTCCCATCACGGAGATTAATTGTCGGTGTGCGTGAAGCCTTTTGCCAAGTCTTTCTTCGTGTAGCCGTGGCCCACTTCTGTCAAGTAATTATGTATTCTGAGGAGACACCGTATGCTTCCAACGTCAGGATCATATGACAGCTAATCGGGGACCGTCCATCAAGCCCAGCTCTGGGACTGAGCCTAAGATGAGACGCTTACCTGTCAATGAAACATAAAGGACATGCAAAACTGAAGTGGCACGCTTTGAAGGGCAGCCTGGAAACACTTTCCCAGATGGTTTTCACAGATATACTTTTATTTATAAAACAGTTCCATCAGAATGGAGCATTCACATTCATTGGTATGCTAGCATTAAAGGCATGGTAGAGTTCAGCTGAAAGGGTAAAGCATGGAGTGGTTTGCCTTTTTTTTAGTACAAACATGTACTTAATGTAACGGCAAACGCTCTTTACAAAAATATCAACTGTGTTACTGCAAGATCCTGTTTCGTTTCTGTACAGTGTCAAGTATGTATGAGTATACATAAACGTATCAAAGATAGAAAAGATTATATATACAGGATACATACAAACATTAAAATCATCGGGTTTTAAACATTATTGCAGTTTAAATCGGTCATCTGAGTAAAAACATGGACATCCCAATGCAAGAAATTACAATCTGGAGCGAAACACAACCAAATCCAGTAGCTGCATTTAAAAATGAAGTGATTAACTCTCAAACTGTTCTCTCTCATTTAAGAGTCGACCGAATCTGTAGCCTCGAGTTCAAGCCTTAACCCAAAGAGGATAAAATAAACATAATGAAACCCAGAAATAAATTAAAAACAGCAGTAATAACAATACAACCTGTACAGATATTTCAAATATGTAGGCAAACAGTGTACTCTTAGTGCACAAAATACAGCAAAAAAAGGCGTAGTTGATGCCTCCTATTCTCAGGAAGTCTCACTTGACCGTTGCAGCTCTGTGGGTGCGTCTGTGATCACCTTTTTCTTCTTCAGTGCCTCCTTTCATATTTGTACTAAAGTGAAATTCGTACAACGTTCGGTGTATTAATCGTTTTCTTTTGGTTTCACAGAATCGATACAAAAGCCTGTTGCCTGGCAAGCTTTGCCGAATTACCAGTGTCTGCCTGAGAAACTCAACTCAGCGTCCTGTGGATTTCACCGCCTCTCAACGTTTGGGAGTGACAGACGAGGACATTCTTCGTGAAAAAGGTCAAGAACCGAATAAAAACTGCCAATCAGCAGCAGCTGCGGGGCAAACTTGAATGGAACGCGTCGCACTGATGGTTTGTGGGGAGGAGGCAGAGCCCAGAGAGCTGAGGACGATGCAGACACACATCAGTGCTTGGCAGATTCATTGTAGTCATCATCACTGCGCTTTGCCTCTCTAGGGGAAGAAAGCCACAGTCCCAGCCGACGAGCTGCCATCAGAACACGTCGTTTGCATCTAACCTTGTGTGGGCGAGTGTGAGACTTAAATCTGTAAGGTATTGAAGTTCATGCACAGCTTCGCAGTCATCGCCTCGGTGGCCACTAAAGTAGCCCAGGTACTGTATGCCCCGTCTATGCTGACACCTGAGACGAGGCGCCGGTGGCACCGCTCTCAGCTGGGTCATAGAAACAGTCTTCGTTCACTACTGAGGTCAGACTCTGGACGCTGAACTCTCTCTCCAGCAACGTGTTGAGGTCCATGGCTCCACACGGCAGCGCTGCATCCGTCTGGCTGTCCAGTGACCTGCTCTGCTCCTTCATCTTCAACAGGGCTCCCGGGCTCCTCCTGAAACTGCACGGTTTCCTCTTAACGGCTGTGAAGTGGCCTCGCACTAGTTTGGGTTGCATCTCCGGGGTGTCGCCAACACCCTCGGGCTGAACGCGGGGGGCCGGTGCACCTTCTGATGCAGAATCCTCCGACAGTTTAAGTTGGAGAAACTGAGCTTCAATTGCACTAGTTGGGGAGCTGCTGTCTCCGCTGTCCCTCCTCGTCCCCCCCTCGCTAAAGCCGTCGTCGTCCTCGTCGCTCAAAATGTCAGACTCTTTCACAGAGGTGGAGCGGGGTTGAGAGTTGGAGCAGTGTGTCTGAGACCAGTTCTGCTGGACTGGAAAGATGGGCGAGTCGGAGGACACGCGGGCTGGAGGAGCCCCAGACAAACTGTAGGTTCCACTGCTCAGGCTTCCCTCGTCAGAGTCTGGCCCGAGCTTCGGAGCCTCGCCCTGGGTGGAGAGCTCTGCAGGCGGCTGCTTGCACAACCAGGAAGCTCTGGAGGAACCTAGAAACAAAGGTGGGGATGGAAATTCCACTGTTATCTGAGCTGAACACTTGCAGCATAAGCAGCCGAGTGCCAGCTGAGTGTTAGGCGGCCAAATGACTTCAAATTCCAGTCGACAAGAATAATTTTTATGAAGAGATGTTTTTACAGGAAACCTTCCCAGGAAGACGTGCCTGGTACTAAAAATGAGTGTGGAGTGTTTCATACAACCTAAACTGGATGAAAGAACGCTTCAGAAACCCACCTAGCCTGGCGGAGGAAGGCAGGGTGCTCCTCAGAGGAGCCAGGTGCTCCTTACAGCTCCTCTCCAGCGTGCCCTCGCCCTTCATGTTCCTCCTCACGTTCTCCCTGAGGATGGAGCGGATCACCTTGATGATGCTGACCTTGCTCTCAGGCACACTGAGGAGAAGAAACCAGAGGTATCGCAGTAACGTGAGAACGGGGCATGCTCAGTTTGATTTCACAAGCTAAATATAGATTAAGATTTGCGAAGGGTTCGTTGTGTCCCCGGCGAAATTACTGATGTAATTTATTAGGACTGATCCCGATTTCATAGTATGTAATGAGAATCACCGATTTAGTCACAGGCTCTCTCGCTACAGTTCCCATGTAGACTGTTTGTATGAAATGCTAGAATAACAGCAGACGGGGGCATGGGAGGAAAGCAAACGGCCTAATGGGTCTTTTTGGGGGGCAGAGAAGAAGTAGCTTTATTTGATTATCTAACATTATGGATAAAATGTTCTATTAATAGAAAACTTAATTAACCATTTCCAGCCGATAGACTATATTCTTTAAGAATTCTGGGTCATTATTAATGTGACAGTCGTGTGAAATATGTGACGGCTCCTAAAAACCAGAGTTTATCCAAACATCTTTGGACGAGAGGCCGACATTCAATGTGATCTACAAACTGCTCATTGCAAACATCATGACAGTTTGTATCGACTAAACTAGTCTGCAGAGTTTTCCTTTGTGTTGACGACCTGTCAAAATATTTTACTGCTCGTATTTCTTTTGCTGTCTGACTTCGTTTTCGCACCATGTCACGATGCTCCCAGTGTAGCATTAACTTAAAATCGGTGCGTTTTTAGAAAGCTGTGATTTCACCTAAACGCTGAATCTCTGACCTGCTGCACAGCTGGAAGACGGTCTCTGGTCTCCCCTCCACTTCAGACCTGGAGTGAATCAGCTCCCAGATATAGCTGCTCTGCGTACCTGTTCCTAGGAGAGCCGGGAAATAAATGAGAGGCCTTTAATCATGCGGTGCGTGTATGGTTTATGGTTTCAGAGGGAGATAAGAGGGGTGGAAGCTGAATAGAAACGTGGGTGTGTGGGTAATGCGAATGGGCTGAGGGAAATATGAAAGGAGAGAGATTTAGTGGATGTACTTTGTGAGTGATTTGTTGGGGATAATTTGGAAGCGTGTCGGCCTCTTACCTGCAGTATTTCCCAATCTGACCTGCAGAGCCGAGAGCGGGATGAGCCAGCGGAACTTGAAGGGGTCCGAATCTCCGTGAGAGAGCGCCGAACGAGGGTTGGCCTGGCATTACAAGAAAAAACAAAAATGGGGTAAGAGAGAAAATGTAACGTTTCACACCAAACGCACTCGATGTGGGAACGTGACACAAACATACCATTTTTTTCTTCAGCTTGTTGTTTTCCCTGCAGACCAATATCACTGCTTTCTTGAACACTGGTGAGAGAGCGCGAGAGAACACATGAGCGTCTTGGATTTGACTGTGCATGCCTCTTGGGGAAAGCCGACTGAGGGAGCGCAACCACAGAAGCATTTTAAATGCCAGCTTGAAGCCTTAAAGCATATATCAGCGTTACAGCTATGGATATTAAAATTCTGTTCCTGCACACTATTCTGTGCAGCAAACCCAATACAGCTGGTTTATATCGATTCACTTTCTCTACTGCAAACACCCACGAGTGACAATTAAGGGAAACTGTGAAAAATGAAAAGGGCTGACTCACCGAACACGGTCATTTCGGGGTCTTTTCTCATGCGGCCCAGCGACGGATGAGGGTTGAGCCAGACCACAGAGGAATGCATGAGAAACTCTCCCATAGAGATCTCTGTGACCTGAGAGAGGCGTAAGGGACGGCAGACAGTTTAGGAGAGAGTCGAGGCAGGCGCTGAGCTTTTTACGGCTCAGGCTAAGCGTGTCTGTGAATGGAGTTGCACTGCACACTCGGGTTTGTGCACAGGCTCAAAGCTCAGGCAAATTTAAAAACACTGAAAGCATACGTGAACATAGAAAACATGATTTGGCTTTGAGTAAATATTCCATCAATTTATAAATGTATTCAGACCCTAGAGGCGTGCACATCACCTAAACTGCTGCGCTCTGATGTACTGATGGAACATCACCAAAAATACCACCAAAAATACACTAATTCACCTCTTTATCATGGCCAGTCTGCTCGGCAACAAGCTGATCGAACACGGAGCCGTAATCCTCGTAGATCTTCTGCATCTCGTTGATGTGGCTGGCCACCTTCTCCATGGCTTTCAGGGCCTCTGCAGACACAACAGAGTGTTAACAGGACCGAGTCGTGACCCTGTGGGTGACTGTGTTCACCCTGTACTGGAAAAATGCCAAAGGTTATCACTTAGTGTTTCCACGTGCGACTAACGTGACACCGAAATGCCGAGTGTCAGCACGGCCTGTTCATAGCACAGCGCTTGATTGCGCGCAGCCTTCCTACCGGTGAGGTGGTAGTGTTCCTCGCTGTCGCCGTCGGTAAGGGAGACCAGCTCCCTCAGCAGCAAGGGGTACTTGAGCACCCTCTGCACTGGTTTAATCAGGTAGGACTCCAGGGTGGAAGAGTGCTGCTTGGTGGGGTTCCTGGCATCGAGGAATTCTTTGAAGGTCTGATCCGTCTTGGCTAAAGGAAAGAAACACTCAGACTTAATCTGGATCTTTTTAAGCCGTCTGTTCTCTTTGCTTCTGGTCTATGTTTCGGACCGTGGCTACGTTATTAAGCTCTAACCTACTAAAGCAAATGTGGGTCAGTGCAGAATCGCGGTGCAATAATGCGTCTCCAGCAGGGGGGAGTGTGGGCTTCTCCACCTGCTACGACCACTGTGGTATCAAAGTGTAAATGTTTGATGCTGTAACATTAAATCTGGTAAAACACCAAGTTGGGGCCGCATGGTTAACGTGAAACAGCAGGTATAAGACAGAGCAGGCCTTCGGTAAAGGTGCTGACATTTTCCCCGAGCGCTATGCTTCCACAGCGTTACCGGGGGGGGGCCATTAAAGTATTAATTATAGCACTGCCAGCCACAGACGTGCAGCCACGTCGACGCCTCGCAGAGTAATTGGCAGGCAATTAACGAGTCGACAAATAAACAGAAACTAAGGCAACCCGGGCCCCATGGCGTGGCAGAAGAGGAGGGGGGATGAAGATGACAGAGATGAGTATGTAATTACTTAAAGGACTCACAACAGCCGCAGATTTCTGCGATGTGTTGTGGATCAGCTGCTCGTGACCAGAGTGCGCTGGGTGTTCTCGGTTTTGCTGAGCCAACTAGAAACTCGCTCGGCGTCACTTATGTTCTACTCGGCTGTTTTATCCGTACTAAGCAAATATTATGCTTCCTGCTCAAATATCAGTTTGCAGTCGTCAATTGTGAGCAGCACAACCCGTCATTTAAAGCTTTGGCTAAAAGAGCGGGTGCACAAACCCGGTGAATATCTGGCATCTATTTCCCTTACTCAAACACTTGGAACCATTTTGTGTCAAGCTAGCACCGCCCGCATGCTGAAGCACTCAGGAATAATCACTACGCCAAAATCAGACGCTTATGGGGGAAAAGTGGAAAAATTTTACCTAATTCATCTACATATCTGAACAATTGGTTAAAAAAAATAATCTGCATCTTCAAAAAATAACAGGAGGCTTTACCTCTGCAGCAAAACATCTTTTTATAGCCTGCTTTTAAGCATATCATTAACATAATTTACAAGATCAAATCATTTTGACTGTTCCTAAAACGCTTTCAAGTGTTGCTGGTTAACCATCCTCAAGGTACTTTTTAGTGATTTTGTCCCATCTAATCCTATTAAAGATCAGCCCTGCTGCTTCCTTCGAGGAATATCCCACACAGCCCCCCCCCCGTCAGCTAAGAAGCCAATCTGCTTACACTCCTCTCTCTCTACTGGGCATTCATCCCAAATAGTGGCGGAAAGGCCAACATCTGAGGAGGCATAAATCAACTTTAAAATTTCTCCAGCGTCACATGCTGTGGGAGAAGCGAGAGTTATTGTCACGGTCACACATCTGCTGTTAGAGGACAAGGTTATCCAAAGCCAGAGTATTTATATGTGCATGTATTTGTTTAAACATCATCTGTTTGAGGAGAAAAGGGCGATAATGCTTTGAAAGTGTCGATCACAAACTGAAAGGTGGAGAGCCGTGTGCTCCTTCGTGCGTGGTGCTGGAGATGGAGCGGGACTGGTGCTAAACTGGAGAGGCATCGCTCACCTCGCTTTCACCCACCGTCTCACTCTGGGACATTTACTTTCATACATAATTGATTTGCTTCCCAAAAGAGAAGACCGAACCTTCAGCCGTGAGCGGCCGAGCTTCCTCTGACGCAACACAGGAGCACGGAAGCTAAATTTAGCGGAGGTGGATTAGTTTGTTTTTGCATGCTGTTTCTCGTTACTATGCAGAATATTAAGATGTGTGTTGTACCTCTCTCTAGGACCTTTTGGACCTTGATGTGGTTGGCACAGAAGCCGCTGTAGAGCTTGAAGTGATCGGCGTAGTAGAGGAATGAACCCCCGAGGGAAAACAGCAGCTTCTGTGAAGAGATGGGGGGGAAAAACACCAGTGTGAACACAGAGCACGAGAGAGGATTGGAGGGTGTGAACATGTGAAGTCACGACTGAATCACCGTGCCCTCCCTTCAAAATGCCCCCTCTGTCCTCTTCCTCTCACCCAGCCTCTTCAGTACACTGGCTTTCAGCAGCTCACAATCCGACCAGTGAACCGCCGCCGCGATCGATAGACCTCACACCTCCTCACACTGAGGCCATAAATCAGCCGATGACGCTTCTGTTGCACCACCTCAATTATTTAAAACCCAACACCTGAAAGATCCCTCTTTTCTCTGTAGCCTGTGTGGATTCGGGACTGAATCTTTAGATATTTAACAAACAGCGTGACGTTTCTCTACCTAACGGAGTAACGGAATACACGTACCAGTGTTATGCATTTAAAATACAAAATATGAGTAACTGTATTCTGTTACAGTTACCGTTTAAAAAGGTTCAGAATACAGTTACTTTGTTGAAATAAATGGACTACAGTGTGGTCTTTTCCTGTTTCATGTTAGGCTATGTCCTCCCTATTTTTGGTATTTGGTGGAAACCCAAACAAAACGCGCATTAAGAGGCTCTAATGTCTGTGTCTCAATCTCGCAGCCCATGTCACCTCTACTACACCCCACATAATGACGGGAAATTAAGTAATGGAAAGTATTCAGAATACGTTACAAATACATTTTGGGGCATGTAATCTGTAGTGGAATACATTTTAAAAGTAACCCTCCCAACACTGCTTACCTTGAACTGCGAGGGGGTCTCCAGGGTGCTAAAGTCAGGTGACGAGGCAATTCTCTCCTCCAAGGTCTGCAGGAAGACCCTCTGGAAGTCCAGCATCTCAGGCAGGCTGCCAAACAGACTCTCCATCTTTGAGGAGGCAAAAGGGAAGTAGAACAATAGTTAGAAAGAGGAGGAGAAGGAAGCGACGCAGGTGAGGACGTATGAAAGAACATCAGAGGGTGAGAGAGTGTGTGGCAACGAGGAAAAACAGACAGGATAGCTTGTAATTCATAGCAGACGGACCGGCACCCCAGAGTGTTATAACAGCTCCACTGTGATGGCTCCATCTCTGACAGAGGCACTTAGGGACAAGCTACAGCCGCGCACAAATAAAGCACATAAATGGACACAGTAAACTTCAGCTGTGTAACAAGCGCTATCTGACACATCCAGCCAGGGTCGCCACTTCCTTTCATTAAAAGCTCGCGTGCCCTTGTCTGTCCTGTTTCCGGTCACATTCCGGTGTCCAATAATGGCCTCTTAATTTGCCCCGATGCTTAGAGGCCCATCAGCTGGTGTGTCTTGGTAATACTTGGGAGAGATGTGCTACGTTTGAGGTCACAGAGCTGGAAAGTTGCGTGCTACAGCAACGATATATGCTGTTGAGTTGTTAAACGGAGAAAAACAGTCCTTCCTTAATGAAGAGTACGTGCAGTGCACAGCCGTGCCGTGGCATATTAAGCTGAGGTGGGTTGGCTCTTAAGCCGCCCTTTATTGGTGTGGCCCTCTGAGACGCCGGAAGGTCGGCGGACGAGAATGTTAATTTGTCCTCCAGGCAGTTGGAGCAGTAATGAGGGAGATTTGGCCCGGCAGAGTTCATCGATGGATAATAAAAGCTCCACATATTAGGTGTCCAACAGAGTTAGCATACGTAAGTTTTCTTAGGGTGGCAAAAATCAAACCACAATCAGGTGGTTACAGATGGTTACAATGATTCAAATGCAGTAAGTATACATGTTTTTCATATAAATATAGTCTATAACTTAATTACTTTCTGTAGCCCACATAATTAAACACTTTAGTTACATAAAACGTGAGTTTTGATTTTATGTACTGTATAGTCTGTATAATAAATAAGTCTAAAATCCAGAAAGCTACACAACATGGTGCGGTTCATCTACAAACACACATCTAATTTAAGTTTCACTGTTTTGACCGTGGCTCAGGGGTTTGGGAATCGCACCTGTAACCGGAAGGTTGCCGGTTCAATCCCTGGGCTCTCTGTCCTGGTCGTTGTTGGATTAACCCTCTGAGGTCCAAAATATAACCGGACATTTTTGATAGCGTAGTGGTTTGACTACACACCTTTGGAGCGGAGGATCACAAGTTCGATTCCCACCTGGGGTGTCTGTATCCAGTAAGGGTCCAAAGGCTAGACCCCCCCTAGATTAGGCTGAGTGAGGAAGTAGGTATGATATAAATGCCACGGCAAGGGGGAGCCAGGACGCCAGGTCAGGGGAGAGATCACCCCCACCCGATCGGGGTGGGGTGATAGGAGAAGGATAGTTGAGTGCGATAGGAGGATAGATAATTCTCCACCTACCTCATCCAGTGTGAGGAAGGTTTCTTTCTGTAGAGGTTGCAAGTAGATCTCAAACAAACAGGTCAGGTCCTGAAACAGAAGTGGTCAGCACTTAACCTTTGAACCTCTTATCAGATCACCACCACAGCCCCTAATCCCCCCACTCCTTGCGGGGACTGTTGTACTCATTAAGTTGATATATGGGCTTTCACCTCCTCCCCTCCCCTAGTTGCATGGTGAAGATGCCTAAATCAGGCCACACTTTGAAGACAATCCTCTCCCTCAATTACAGGCTGAAGAGGAGGCGTGTGGGGGGAGGAGACTAAATGAAAAATGGTAGGTGGGGTAAAAAAAGGTTATAAAGTGACTGGCCAGACAGGCTGAGCGACTACTCAAGTTACAGCTAACAAATTCTTCTGAATGCTTGTTTTATGCTCCTGATCTCTTGTTCATCATCTATTAAAGTAACCTTACATTAAAAAAAAACAATTTACAATAAGGACACAGCTTTCTAAATCATGATGTGAAGTTTAATATTAGAAATTCTTTGCTGGTCTCACCTTCACGTAGGACTTCTCCGTGTCCACCAGCTCCTGGATGACCTTGCGTAACCTCTCTGTGGCCGTCATATGCTTGGGGCAAGGTCTGAGCAGGGCAGCGTCTCCCGTAGGGCTCGAGCCCAAATCCCCTCCTTGCCTCACCGAGGGTTCCCCGCCGTGATCCATCAGACCCCCGCTGCCCGAGCCTGACCCTTCCTGGAAGGAGTGGTAGAGAGTGCACACTGTGTCCACGCTCTGTAGGGGGCGACAGAGAGAGAAGGTGGTGTATGTAGGTTAGGCAGGATTATTATAGTCAGCTGCATAAAATAAGAAGATATTGCACTGTATGATGACACGCACGGGCCTGAACACAAACTCTCATGGATCCATTTAAAGATCCCTCATTTAACCATCCACAGCTAATGACTGCAGCCCCAAAGCTGTGTAAAATAACCACGTGGATTACTCCACCCTGCACTTGGTCAACGATCCCCCTGGGTACAGTAAGAGTGTTACTGAGATTTAGTTATGTACTCTGTGCTAATTGGCTTTGCATCAAAGACTTTACAGAATTAGCAACTGGATATCCCAGCAGATAGCATTACAGCACATTTCATTATTCTCCATAATCCATAATAGACAGTTATGCAGCTTTGTGTCACGTCGATTACAGACAGTCTGACATGGCAAGAAATCCCAAGTGGTCGTATATTAGTGTGAAATATTTGGTGTTTGATGAAGAGGAAGTCTCAACCTTCCACACATAAATGAGTCATTTCTTCCAGCTTACACCTTTGATGGGTGGAACCCCATGAAGAACTTAGCGTCACAGCATTTACAAAAATATTCTACAGAAGCAGATCGCTCGCATCCCATTTTAGTGGACTGTACCGCCCGGGGTGGGGAACTTAACATCAGCCGTCGGCAGCGCGCTGTGAAGTTTTGCCTGTGGCAGGTAAGACTTTCAGAGCAATCGTGTCAGAAAGTGAACTATTAGGAGCTGCTCTGTTCTACGGAAACAAGAAGCAAAAGGGGAAAAAAACCTCTCTGTTGTTTCCAACTTACACCGTTGTTGCAATGTTTGGGTTGCAGTTAGCAAGCACTGCAATACATGCAAACTATGCTCAAGTAATCAAAATCCTACCTACTCATTTCTTACCTGACAGGCGTGTCAAGCAAAACACTTCAACTGCAGCAAGCTTTGCTGCTATCAATTACCTTTGATGCTTGTGATAAAAATGGCCTCATGATGCCCAGACCCCCTTATTCCAAGTGAATGGCATGATGTAGCATTGTAATCTGTGGCCAGTCACAAAAAATCAGCAGGAGCTGATAAATGCCAGTAATAGCAGGTTCCAGTCCGCTGCACAGCAACACAGCACGGCGGGACAGCCAAGACGCCAAACAAAACAGCTGCTCAGCACTCTCTGCCTCCTCGTGCATGTGCTGCTATTTAAAATATTGCATAAGCAAGCAGTCAGTCGCAGCTCCCTCTCAAAACTGTGCAGTAACAGACGTGGATCGATAAAACCTTCATTTTGTCACTACAGAACCGATACGCTGCCAGGAAGTGTGTGAGAGCTCACCCGAGTCACGCATCTTCTCACACACTGTGTGAGGTACGACCCGTAACCCCCCAGGACCACCTCCGCCCGTTCCCAGGGAGACCGCAGATAATAAAGTCTGCCATTAATAAGCTTGCGACTCATCAGCTAGCTCATTATAACATGGTCACTCCAGAGACGGCCCTCCAATACTCCAGCAAAGAGTGTGTGTGTGTGTGTGTGTGTGTGTGTGTGTGCGCGCGCGCGTGCGTGCAACGACTGAAAAAGAGAGAAGAAAAAGGGAAGGGGGAAAAATTCCTCTCCATGCCCTTTATGTATGTCTGGGCTAAGCCTCTTTCAAGTGATCCACCTCCCACTGTAGCTCCACTCTGGAGGTCTTTGAATGTGGGCTGATAATTATGAGGGGACTTGAAGTCTCCCTGTGCTCTGATGTAGGGACTAATGTTCCTAGTGGAGAGCACAAGATGCACTCATGCTGCAGACATACCTGTATAAATGTTTGCAGTGAGAACCACAGCAACGCAGCAGTAATGCTGCTCACAAATAGCATTTTTCTTTAGCTAAAGCTAGCATCATGTCATATTGAGCATGTTTGAGGTGACAGGAAACATTTAATGCGACTGTGCGCGTGTCATTTAGCATTTAAACGCTTTCAAATCTGAAGCGATTCAAAGAAACACGAGGATATTGGAACATAAGTAGAGCTGTTGACACAGGCTATCCCTTTAAAGATCATAAAATCCACCTCCAGCACTGATGCTGCTGCCACACACACACAGCACCAGTCAGCCTTCATTCACTGATACACGCTTTGGGAGAACTCCATAATGCACCATGGAGGCAGACGGTGGGGGGGCTGCCTGAAGGAAACACAAAGGTTGAAGGATATCAGCAGGACATATTCATCAAACAGCCCGCTAGTATCTCCAGACAGGAGAGAGCATCCTTGTGCAGACAGATAACTGTGTTTTATTTCAGCTCTGGCACCCGAAGGTGAGGTTTGCCCAGGTCTTTAGAGACCTCCATTCAAGTGCCGACTTGATTCTTGTTACACACCCACACACACAAATGAGATGATGGAGGAGCCGGGTGAGGTGGGGGGAGGAGGGGAAAACACTTTCAGCTCTCACACAGGTCGCTTAGTAAGATTTTCATCAACGCTAATGACGGACGGAGCGTGATGAGAGAAGGAAAGCTGGTGGGTGGACGCCACGCAGTCATGACTCAGGAAATGCATTCGCCTCACAACAATCCCACCGACACAGTCTGACAGCTAGCCCAAATAACCAATTAAGAGCTGAGGACGTGAACCAGCAGAGGCGGGAGAAAAGCCCGGGAGCGCCACGGAAAACAAGCGGATCTGACAGCGCTGCTGTGAATTCCTGATCAGGTTTTCTTGCTGACAGGTGTCAGCCGGGGATAGTGTTTCGACTTCTGCTCAAACCAATTTGGAGAAGAATTCTTCTTATTTTGTTTGTGATGCATTTCCAGCTGCATTTCTTTTTATTTCCGCTCGTCTGCCAGCTGTCCGTTTCCTAGATCCCCGAAATCAAAGCCAGAGATTTTAATTCCAACGTCAAGTCAAATAAAAACACTTTACTGTCAATCCAAACATCCCAAACACAACAATCAAGCACAACCTACACCTAGCTTCCTTCTCCAGCGAAGCCAGACTACATCTGTTTAAATGTTTAATCCTGATGGCTCTAAAATCTCCTACTGAAGCTCATATTTTAAGGTTTAAACATCCACTACCTCTCCCAGTCTGCGAGTCACCATGACGAGCAGTCTGTAGAGCAGCCTCCACGCTGCCGTGGCCTGCTGTTGGGTCCTGCGGGCGAGCGAGCAGCTCTTCCTGCGTAGCCGGCCTCCTCTGGACATTGGCATAACAGCTCGGAGAGAGTGAGCTCTGAAGTTTACTTGACCTGCCTCGATTCTTTTTTTAATTCCCTCTGATGATCAGTCAAATACCCTCATCAACTTTCCTCCTCCTCCTTCTTCTTCTTCTGTGGTTTCTCTTTAGCTCCCCGTTGCCCGTCTCTCCATCAGGCCCAAGTCAGAACCCTCAGACTTCAGTGCACCTCAGCCTCTGGGGCGGAGTGGCCACTGGTCTGTGAGCGTAGGCAGAGAAAAAGTGCTTGCTGCCTGCTTGTTTTGCATATCAGTCCGTAGCGGACGGTCTGGCCACTTGGCCTGTGGGGGAATTTCTCCTCCAGGAGCTATTACTCTCTGTCGCCGCGTATCAGCGTTGCTCTTCCGATGTCTCTACCGCCACAGACTGCCATCCATCCTACTTCCTTTTGTCCGTTTGCCTCCAGATATGCCTCCTTCTTCTTCCTCCGCTTCTTCCTCTCCTGTTCGGCTCCAGGTGACCTCGCTGGTGTGATTTCCAGAGAGCTGAATTGAGAGGCTGGGGGCTGTATCTGGGTCCAGTCTCTCAATAGCGACAGTACAATGCAGACTGTTCTGGCTTGTTACCTCTACACACACAGGAATGGCTGACTCAAAACTGGGAGGCTCTGAGCGGGTGGGGGTAACAGTGCAGGAATGTTAACTATGGCCTCGTACAAGAATAAAACATGACATGCATCGCTCGCTCGCGGGCTACTACATGTGGACAGAAATAAACAGATGCTGGATGGTTTTAACAACAAACTATAATGGAACCATTTTTCTCACCTCACTCGGGTAAATAAATGTAAGGGATTACAATTAGGAAGGTTAGTTACTTGTCCTATAGCTTCCTGCTACTGTTCTTTTACTTCTACTTGCACTGCAGCTTCCTGCCTGGTTGTAAAATGCTGTGTAAATGCAGTATAGACGTGTAAGACACCAAACTGCATCTAACACTGCAGACCTGCGTTTCAAGTTCTGCCAGTAGGTGTGTGGAATCACAATCAGTTCTCAGGTCCTCGATGATTTTGTAGTAAACGTGACATGAACATCTCATTTTGACTCATGGTGGCGGCGCACAGCGGGAGGGGAGCGGTGGAGGAGAAAGGGAACGGCATCTGACAACAGTTCGCAGCCTGATGCAAACCAAGGCTGTGGCGCTTCCTCTTTCGCAACTTAACCCCCGGCTGTTGCCCATTGGGCAAGTTTGTCTGCAAACACACCAAACTTCCCAGTTTTTTTAAGCAGGCAATCATCATCAGCTAGAGCAGAGCTTCTAGATACAGCTAATCACCTGCTTTCCGTCCTCGTCTTATATATTTGCACCAGACTCAGTGAATGCATAATAACAGACGTCTTCCTGCCAAGTCCAGATTTGAGCAGGAGCATCCTCGGCTTTGGCATATCGGGACTAAACTTTACAAACTGCACCAAACGAGATTAAGTTCTGTTTAAATTTGGACTCCTCTCACCCCGCGGTCATCCGTCTACGTCCTCAGTCTCCTTAAAGAGACAGTGTTTTCAGTTCGTGTGCACATCCACATGCACGTACAATATTTTTATATTGAGTAAGCTAGTAAAGCATGCCGCTGCATAATTAAGTCTCACTTATTTTCTCCAAGTCTGGGCAAAAACACTTGGAGAAAACAAAAGAAAAAGAAAACACAGCTGAGCTCTGTCAGAGTGGGAGGATGCAAGATAAACACTAAACAGCATCTCTATCTCCCTTTTAATGCTCCGATGGAGTCATTATGTACAGAGCTCAGTCTGCCTTGCAGATGAAACGTTGCTCAAATCAAAGGAGAAGCCTCGCGCTTTACCGGCGGAGGAGCCCCATCTTTGCAGGAATAAACAAACAAATGCGGGGCGAGAGGAGATAAGGAGGAGGGCATGAAAAACAGGCGTGTCCCCGGGGCTGGCGTCAAGCATCCTTCAAAAGAAACAGCCTTATCATGACACCGTGAGGCCGAGAAAGAGAGCGCGTGAGAAAGAGCGGAGGCCTGTGGCCGGTGGGCAGGCCGGTGATTCATTTGCCGTGTTAGTGGGCTATAGTGCCACCATGCCATCTTCTTTTCAAAGCTCAATAAAAGAAGACGCGCACTCATAAATCAAACAGAGCAGAGGGGAGGAGAGAGAAATATGAGCGGGGAGGGCCGGCCCCGTCGCGCTCCGCTCGAGCCCATTTACGCCTTTTATTATTCATCCTAAACAAATATTATTCCGCCAAGTCTCCGAGGACTTTGAGAGAGGAGTGTGTTTTAATAATGAAGCCAGCATCACATTAAAATACCCGTTCTGCTCAGCCCCCGAGGCTATTCACATGCACTCCACTGCATTAAAGCCAGAAGACAAAGTAATGCCACGACTCTATGCTGTTCCCTCTCAAAGGGATGCCCACAACTGAATAAAAGGTTAAGTGGCGATGCTTGTTGCTGATGTTAAACACCTCTCGATGACAAATAATTCACAGTAATGGCAAACGTCGTTCTCTAGACCGCATCCGACCCAGAAAAGACTGTGTGAATCAGAAGCAAAGGATCCACGATACAGCAACAAAGACAGCAACTACTTATTAACAAGTACACTGCAAGTACATTCCCAACATAGCATTAACGCTGGGAAGACACTATCCCAGTGTATCCCAACACTATGACTCTTTGCCTTCTTCCACCTGCCGTCACCACGAGCCTAAAACCGAGCTGCAAGCACACGTTGTTTCATTACTGCTAAGAGCCTCTGACAGTAAAACTACTCCATGCTTGCATTTGTTAGATTATTTTTACTGCACACAGAGGGATGTGGGCTGGTTGTGTGAAACTTTGCAGCTTAAAGTGTGAAGAGTCTGTACTACCAGCCATCCCAGCCCCACACAGAAAACCACGAGCCCATCCGCCCACAGTTACCGGCTGTTTGTCTTCCTTGGAGTCTCTCTGGCAGGACAAGCAGGCGGTCAGGTCCTGGACCACGCAGGACAGCTTGTCTTTCAGGAGCCGTCCCAGCCTGAGAAGCGCAGATCCTAAGAACGGGGATTTTTCCTCAGCTTTGCAGCCAAACGGCCAGAACCAGCAGCAGCACATGGCTGCGACTGCGCCCAAGGCCTGAACCAGCGACCGACCCCTCTGAAGCAGCTCAAATAAGATGGTGAGGCAAAGGCATGGCCGGGGATCCTCATCCTTTTCTGCTAATGCCATAGCCATGCTGGGTCATTGTGCATTGGGATCCCCGTTGCTTCCTCCGTCACTCAGTTTTTATCTCCACGTCTGGAAGTTCTTACTGTGGAGTGGACTGAGCAGGGGAAGGCTAGCATTAACTGTGCTGACAGCAGTAAGCCTAGATTATTAGTATGCTCGTGGCCAGATGGCGGCTGATGGGCTTAGTCATAACACACAAGCACTTCCACAAATTACCCACACCTACCCACCCCTCACACACACGTCTGCTCAAGTTTAGAGGGGGGTGACGGTAGCTTCAAGGAAGACAAAATCATCTGTGAAGAAGAAGATACAACCTCACATCTGCAGGCATGTGCCAACGTTTTGAAGTTTGGGATCCATGATAAGCGGGGAGAACTGAAACATCCTCCTCACAAGCTTTTAAAACATATTAAAACACCTCAGACTCGTCCAGCCCGCAGACAGGTGCCAGAGTCCAGAGAGCTGAAGAGTAAAGATGTGAACAAACGGTGCGAGCCTGCTTATTACTCAACTTAATAACATCACTGCCTGAATCAAGCCAAATCTCGCTGCACTGACATCCAGACAGAGCATGGCTCCAGTCATAGCGCTCTTCATAAGTCCATTCAAATGCTCTTAGTGAAATGTCTCGTCTGGACAAATGCAAAGAAGCTTAATATGTCTGTCCGCTGTTTAACCTTTGGTCTAATGCAAAAGATGACTGTCTGCTTTGCTTTGCATTGCATCAAACACAAACCGCAGAATTTATTATGTCATCGTTCATATACACGGACACATATACAATACACCTGAGCTCAAAGCTGCACTGACTGGTCCGTTTCCTTATTGATTATTTTAACCGCAGTTTTCCCAATAAGTGAAAGAAGTCGATTAAACCCTCAGAACAAACTTGGGAAACTTGAATTTAAATGATTTTAATCAATCACTTGCTTGCGGACTGGTGTCATGTGGTGAAACCAGATTACTTCCCACGTCCTTCCATCTGCCTAATGGGATTGCACAGCATTCTATAGATGCTTATGTTCTTGCGCAGCAGCGCGGCGGTTAGCGCCGACGCATCACATGCAGTCCGGGGCCTTTCTGTGTGGAGTTTGGATGTTATCCAGTGGGGTTAGGTCATTCTCTATTGACTGTAGGTGTCAATGGTTTTCTGCGGCAGATTGACTACCTGTCCTGCGAGAGCTGGGATAGGCTCCGCCTCCCCCCTGCAATCGTCTGCAAGCAGAAGAAACTGAACGGACGATGTGCGAGAATCTGCCGATGACCCGCAAGCAGAGAAGTCCCAATCGAGGCTCCGCTCACGTCTTTCAGACCACTTTAGTTCACTTCGTCTGCTGAGTGGCTCAGCTCATTATGGTACAACAACACTGTTAAACCGATTGCAAAGGCGCTCACCATCCAAACGTTTCATTAAATAATAGAAACAATCATTAACTCAACGGTAAACAAAGCCGTTAACTTTGCCTGGTAAGCGTTTCAGCTCACACACACACACACACACACACACACGTAATAAGCACAAATTGGACTGCAATAGACTAATTAATCAAAAACGATCAGTCAGGTTGAGGCAGCTGATCGCATGTGTGACAAGAGGCTTGAAATTGGTCATTCCCTTCCATCAATCTCTATCGACTGTGCGAGCAGCGTGTGCATGCACGTGTGCAGCTCTGTGCTGATGCATGGCCGGTTTTCTACCCGGTGACTCGATTTCTTTCTGCACGCCCTGGAGAACAAACTGATGGCTGCGCGTTGATTAAATCCTTCTGTGCGCAGCAGCAAAAATCTGATTTACCAGCACCGATATCTCACCCTGTATTTTATTTCTTTTTAATTTCCTTCACAGTGGTTGATTCCCACCGATGCAGAGGGGGAGCCCTTTTCTCCTTTTCCGTGGCAATGTGCACACATCCAGTGGCACGAGTGACACGGACACGCACACACTCATAAACCTCCCTCTCTCGCGCACAGCCGCACACCTTCCCATCTTCCATTCGTTCCTTGGGAAAACAGAAACGGCAGGGAGCTGAGCAGCAGTGGTGCAGTGCAGATCCCAGCAACAGGACTGACTCACGTCGCCGGGCAAAGAACAAGAGACGAACAGAGAGGAAACGACAGCAAGAGTCCACCTCCCGGCTGACCTCGGGTCAAACACGTGGCAGCTACGATTAACGTTTTTTACAAACATGTCGCCTGTATCGCCATCAATGATGCCTGCTCCCTTTTTCATTTAGTCTGCATTACATAATGAGCAACTTGCCAAACATGCACTCGCAATCGCAGCAGCGACGACTATACACAGCTTTGAAGGGCATTAAATATTAGCCGAATGATGCAAGAGGAGGTGAACATGCACGAATACGTTTAGGCTTCCAGCCATGGCTGCATCATTAACACACAGCTTTTTGCTGTGACCACACACACTCATTACTGCCCTCAATAAACACCGGCACACAAATCTTCCCGTATTACATTATCACATCACTGAAGCGTAATTCCCAGCGGAACAGGCTCGCGGTTTAATGACTTCAATAAAGTTGGTTTGCATATCAAAAACCTGAGTAGATATTGAGCGACCAATAGGACAGAAATAGGCGCACAATCTGCCATAACTCAGAAGGGACAACTGTTTGGCACATTTACAGATATGAGATATTCCTCTAAAGTGGCCTGAAAGGAAGTGTTGCATTAACTGTAGCGTGCTTAGAACAAAAACAGGACTCTTACGGCTAACGAATGCATGACGAGGAGGGAAAAGTCTGCATGTAACAAGCAGGGTAGCTCTTAATAAAATGGTGCATGTGCACGGTTAAGTGAATGACAGGAGAAGCGTTCTCTTCAGAGGATTTGGCTTTGCCCCCAGGCGTGCTTGTCCTCATGTGCATGTAGACACATGTGAGTGTGTGTTTGTGCAGGAGGCAGTGGGAGTGTGACACAGCCTCCCCTCTCAGTCTGCATGCCGTCTGCGTGACAGTAATAAGCTGTGTTTATACCGGTGGCTACGATTGAGTATCCTAATTATGGAAATGCTGAGGATTGGTGCCAGTCTGGTTTCTGACAGCCCCGCAGCTTCTGCTGAGAGTGGGCACAAACACAGCACAGACAATTTCACTCACACAGACCTGGAAGGAAAGACAGGCACAGAGTGTGGATGTTTACACGTCTTTTTTTCGCACTCGGGCCCCTCCTACCTTGCTGTGCTGAACAGGCCTGTGTGCGCAGTGGGAGCGACCATCCTCCAGTCCTACGTACAGAGATTCGCCATCGCCAGCTGCAGTACAAACATCTGGAAAGAGAGATTGTGGAGAGACAGAGAGTCAGCATGAGTCTATTTGTGTTTGATGGTGTTTTAAGCTCATACCGCCCCTTGAAGCGCATCCTTCTTCTAACCCACAAAGCACAAACAATGCAGACGAGAGTCGGTCTGAAACCACTGTGGGCGACTTTGTCGTGTACACAACTTAAATATGTCTCCAAACTAAAAACAGCAAGGGCATTCAGTTACCCAGAAAAGCAAAAAAGCACACGCCTGGAAATCCTAATTAAAGACTGCGTTATCTCTTTCCTTGCTCGACTGGGAAAAAAAACAACAACTCTGGAGATAAAGTTTGCTGCTAGTCCAGCCTGAAAAATGTCTGCAAATAATATTTGCATCATTACAGCATGACAAACAGATAAACAGTGTTTTGAAAATAATTTTTCAGCCTCCTTCTGGTTAAAATTCAAGGTCTGGAGGACATGCTCTCTAGCAGCTGGCACATGCAAGATTTCTGATTCTCGACCGGGAGGCAGGCCAACGTGTCGGCGGGAAACAAAAGAAAACTTCTGGGCCTCCCATTGAGCCGAACTTGGCATTTTTTAAGCCGGCAATCATCATCAGCCAATGTCTAATAGCTAGGCCGCAATTTCTAAATATATCTAATCATCTGCTGTCGCTTCTCTCGTCTCGTACATTTGCATCAGGCTAAATGAACGCCAGATGACAGACGTCTTCCTTCTAGGAACGCCATGGTGAAATCCTTTTGTAATTCATGTCAGACAAGTGTTAATTCCCCCACTGAGGGCACATACCTCCCTGCCTCCTTATCAGCCTGCCTGGGATCATGTGCCCTCTAGAGACGGAGCGGGAAAACTGCAGGCGCTTTGATGGCACCATTTGCAGTAATGAGGTCTTCAAGTCATTAATCCCTTTGTGTTCAATTACGGCCGCAGTGGAGGAAACGCTAATGAATTATTATCATTAAGATGACACTCAAGACTGTTTTTGTGCAATGAAATGCAATAAAAGCGACACAAAATGATATGCACGTCTTAAAGGAGGTTTTGCTACACAACTTCTTCTTTTGTCTTGCAATGACTGCAGTTTTATTACATATGACTCAAAATAACATCAGCCATACTATTTCTTTATTATGTTCCTTACCTTGAAATCAAGAGCTGGACAACAATCGGATATTTTTCTCTTCCAGCTGGGGATCAGCTGTGCTGACACGGACGCCCTGCTCTGCTCTGACACCTCGTCTGCACCGTGAGACTAAACCAGGCTGACAGCACTCTATACATCCACAGCAGTAATGAGCCCTCTGCGGTCAAAAGCCCCTCCCGGCCCTTCCTCTCCTCCAGAACACACAGAGCTGTGAAACATCATCTAGAGCTTCCCCCCCCTTTCTACTCGTTAACTCGGGGAAGTGGAGCTATTAGCTGAAACGGAAACGTAGTGACGGGGGTGACAGAACTCCCACCGCTTACTGGTAACAACAAGCAACAGCTCACCACTAATAACTCTGAGGTTCAAATAAACAGTAAATTCTAAAGAAGCATGGATTCTCGGATGTCACAACAATAATGCTGCCTAGATGATGGATTACAAAGATAAGAAGCGACTGTAGAAAAAGAGGAAAGAAAAACTGGAACTTTGCGGTTTCTGAGTTCTGCACAATGACACCGAATGTTTTTAGCAGAAGTAACATTTGCACATTCATACTCAGAACTGTGAAAGTGAAACTGTACGTGTCACCCTTCAACTTGTGCCACCATTTGTGTCACATAAGGTTTCAATACCAGCGTCTTTCTATTCTACTGTTAGCTGTTTGCAGTAAGTAAAGCTAATGTCCGATAATGACTCCGTCTACATGAACGTGTGTGTGTTCAACTGTACGTTTGCGTCTGATTAAAGCACCTGAGGACGACTTGGCTCGGTGGTGTTTACTTCGAACTTCCTGGCTGTGTTTAGTGGGAGGAGCCAGATGGTCAGAGGTCACAGGTGGCAGCACGGGGCCCTCCCGCCTCAGGCTCAGGTGCACAGTTTGTTCAGCAAACAGCATTTGGATCAATGCCAGGTCCAGACCGGGGACGCACCGACCATTCAGGACCAGGATCTCATCGCCAGGACGCAGACCTGCTCACACGGGCAAACTCGTTTCAGAAAAGCCACGCCGATCTCAAACGTGACGCTCTTATTGGTCATTTCTAGATCGGCACCTTCATTGAAGGCCAGGCCATCAGGGAGCACTTCGCTGACAAAAACCCTGCTGTTCTTCTGGCTGTCTGCGTATCCTGTTACTGCAAAACCTGCCAGGAGGATTCAACCGGAGGATTACATAAAGGATCACGACATAAACTACAAACACGATTCGCCCAAACGTGCCCGACTCACCGAAGTCGCCGCTGCCGCTCTGCCTGCTCATGTGCAGCGTAAACACATTAGCCGGGACCACCTCCAACTGATCATTGACCTGCGGGGCAATATTAAACAAATCGATACACATTATAGAAAGAGCGGATAAATGAAGTGTTCGTGTGGGATCATGCGTGTTTCCCCTTCTCACCACATCACGGAGGAGCTCTCCGGGAGCCACGTATCGAACCTCCACGTGCTGCCCCGCTCGCCTGTGCAGTCGGAGGCAGTGCGCGCCCGGGTCCAGCTGTTTCACCTGTTTACACAGGAGCCAATAAATGCTTAGCAGACGGCACGCACAAAAATCATCCCACATATTTCCGCACCAGTACTTCGCCACACAGCTGCTGTGTGGCCCGAGGTGGGAATTACTCAGACTTTCCATGTAGTGATGGGAAATTTGCAGTAAACAAAAAAAAATGTTTCGCCTAAGAAATTGCATGCATGTTGTTTTTGCATGTGTGAGCCCATGCATCTGCAGCCATTCAGGGGGGGCTGTGTGAAGTGTGTAATGAATTGGTGTCATTTCAAACCCTCGGGGACATAATGCAATGAAATCTGCTGCAACAGCTGTTTGAGGCCAGATTATCTGACCATTACTGAGGCTGTTCTCGATGGAGCTAAGAAGCTTTGCATATATGAAACATTCAAATGTTTTTTTGCAGTCACAGGAATATTATCGTCTGATTTTTGTCAAATGGCATAATTTCTTTGAAACTCAACCTTGCACGCTGCACAGAGAAGGTCAGCAGCTGCCTGGTCTCTTCTGATGGGAACTTGGACCGTCAGCCCGTCTGGCATGTAGACACACATCAGCGCATCTGCGGCACTGCTGACGCTGTCCCAAAGACCGCCCTCGGGGGGCGACATGGAGTATATACTCGTCAGCACGTCCAGCCTCTGTGTAGGTGCAGAGAGGGGCATGAAGGCAGGATGCAGTGAGAGGTGGGTGAGGACCGTTGGATGGAGCAGAGAGGAAAGAGAATACGGGGGAGAGGGAGGTAAACAAAGAGAGGAGAGAGAGAGGAGACTTTGAGCAACAACACACAAATCAATACAGGTCCATTAGTCTAAATGCTTGGCTGTGGATCAAGCGGCAGAGCAAAGATGTCATACAATTAGCCTTTCAGAAATTCATCTGACATCACAGACGGCAGTTGCTCCATATAATAGTCATCATAATGACCGTGTACAGGATTGGCAAGCGTCGAGTGCCGGGTCTAGACGTCCCGATGATATCGCCGCAGTTCTCCCGGACTTTTTCTTCTAAAACAACCACAGGAGTCATTTGGACTGAGGTGAAGTGCGGGGGGGACAATTTATATCGGAATCACTCAAACTTTCAGGAGGTAATTGTGTGCTGCATTATTTGCGGGATTAAGAGTGAGTGGGGTATTAAGGCGGGGGAGGGTTGGCCTCACAGGCGGCCATTTAGGGGTTTTGGTCGCGACTCGGTGTCTCTGGAGGAAAAACGCCACAGCTGCGATGTGGAGCTGCGGGGCTGTGGGAGACGCCACGGTGCAGCCCGAGACCACAATTATCAGAGCTCTGGATCACGAGCGACGGCTCAGTCGCAGCAAATGTAGTGAAACACGCGGGTGGAAGAAGCCTGTGATTCAGCACTTCTGACACAGACGATACGAAACGTGCTGGTTAAACCCAGACATGAGACCAAGAGGGATAATTGCTTTAGTGAATAGCTTGGGATATAAAGCGCAGTTTCAGATGCATTATGGCATGATAGAATAAAGCGTGGTGTGTGCCTGTGTGAGGCTTTCTGTCTGCTCTGCATGTGTGTGAGCTTTTCAGTCCATTCCAGAGTCGAGCTGCCTGATGAATCACCTCAAGAGGAAAAAGACCTTTTTTTCCTGCCAGACAGAAGGCCTAAAGGGACGAGCTACAGTCTCTGATTCAGAGCATCAGTTTGCTCCACACACACACACACACAGACACACAAACATTTCCACCTTAATGTCCTTTTGACTAGCCAAAAAAAAGGAGCCACCTGTGTTCCTCCTAAAAATGTTTCCGTCTGCATGAAGGAACACAAGGTGCTGCTTCAACGCCCACTTCTGTCTGCAGCTTTATAGATGTCAGGTCACACTCACAACCTGAGGATGGAAAAAAAAAAGGCCGACATGGTTGCGTAAATGTCCCGTTTGTGTCCCGGTGTGACTGCAAAACCAAAAACTCTGTCGTCCCGATCAGAGACAGACTAACACTGAACACTCATTCATGGCCAGAGTGCGTTCTAACGGGCCGACGGTTGCCTGGCCAACGCTCCGTGAGCCGCTACCAGACACGCGCTGCACTTCAACAAGTGCCCTCTGTGGCGAGTGTGCGCGTGCTATTTATGTTTGCGTTCAGCCAGGTCATTCGAGCCAGTGCTTCAACGTTTCCCCTCCAGTGTGGAAATTATTTCGAAGCGAGCGGTCCTCCACCCGAACTTCTAAAGATGGAACAGAGTGGAGTAACGAACGTTTAGTGATGACCGCTGCTGCAGAAGAATAACCATCTCTGTTCCACTTAGCAACATTGTAACACAAATATTACACTAGTTCCTCAAACAGATAGGAAAAGACTGAAAATTGCCAATCAGGTCTATATAAAGCGTATTACTCCTTATTTCCTTAAAGCTCCACCCAGCGATCCCCTCCTTTACAGCGCAATGCCACCAGTTTCCACACTCATAACACTACTGACTGTTTCTTAACCCGAATCTTATAACTGAAGAAGGCAAACACTCGTTTCATTTTACTCTCCCTTTCACCAGCAGACCTCTCAGTCTCCCTAATAAACGAAACATGGCTGCAGCTGACCAGCTGAGTCTTCATCATCTCACGGCTCTGCATCGTTCGCCCTAAGCTCTTCTGGTCAAGTTGCAACAATGTGAAAGTGTCTTTTTCAAATTCATTTCAAAGAGAATGAAAAGAATAAGTGCTGTAATTCCAAAAACATAGCAACTCAACATTCCCTCTTGGTTTGGCGAGAGCATGAGACCAGGGGAGCACAAAACTCTTTCGAGGTCGCCCCTTTTCCTCGATGCTGTTCGCGATATTTCAGGTGAGCACCTTCAGGCACAGTCGGTGTGAGGGGCTCGTACGAATCACTCCTGTGCTTTTTGAAGATAATGTGGTTCTGTTAGCGTGATAACGATGCGACCTTCAGCATGCACTGGAGCAGCCTGCAGCCAGGTGAGAACAACCTGATATTTTCGCCTCCAAGTCAGTTCCTTGCTATTCATTTGTGGACTGCACCATCCAGGAAAAATGAAACATAGAAATGTAGCACGAGGTGAAGAAGACGCTGATGTGGAAAGCAAACCTCACGCTTCTGATTTACCTGGTAATGTTTGTTCCAACCTTCAGCCTTTCTGCTAATAAGGACTGAAATATTCGCCCCGCTATGAACGTTTGTTATATTTCCTTCTTCCTGTAAAACAGAGCAACAATGTTTTAAACACAGCTGTTCCAAACATCCCAGTTTTACTTTAGATATTTACATTATTTTACTTTGCACATTAAACTTGGAAACACACTGATAACTTTTTATGTCCTGATTTTTCAGCATCAACAATTCCTTTCGTCAGCTCACATCTTTGCTGAGGTTTACACTGTGTAATAAAAAATGAAAGCACATCATTGGTCAGTCATGATTTGTGCTGTGGCTCAATCAAAGGTCAGTTTTTCAGAGGTCTAATAATATTCACCATCATAATTTCTGTTTTTATCAGATTATAATTCTTTTATTATGTGCAAACATAAATAATCTGTGCTGGGGTGGGCGGGCTCATGATTCTGTCCTAATCTTTATAAAGAACCACTTAGCAGACAGAAGTGACCCAAACTAGGACAAGAAAGCTTTTTATTCCAAAAAGCAGCAGCTGAAGTGCTTTGGTTTGATTAAACAGCTTTCGGGAGTTTCCCCAGGAGGAAGGTACCAACCTTATTTACGAATAAAGCGTCAGGATGGATGGAGTGTGAAAATGCATAAATGAAGTTAAAGCAAAGCTGTTTTAGTAACATAAGAATAAGTAGCAAGGAGTTTTTCCTCCAGCAGTCAAAACACATCAGCTCGCTCCGCTGAGGAGTCTTAATCCACAGCAAAACAAAATCATCCCTGTGCCGTTTTCCACTGCTGGAAGCAGAGGCTGGACCGAGGATGTAAGGAGCCAAGCTCTGCTATGTGAGTTTCAACTTCACACCATACCAAGGCAACTCCAGCAGTGGCAGCTCGAGCCCATACAGATGTTTATCTCACCAACTGAAGGCAACAGCTAAACGTGACCTGCAGAAAAAGCTGGATGGAAAAGACCCACACAGAGAGGACATGACACGCACAAACACAGCAACACAAGGAAGCACAAGAGCGACGCACACCCTTCACTTGAAAGGATTAGTGCAGGATGAGTGCTTATTAGAGTAATTCGAGGGCTTTGAGTCCAAAGCAGCACAATAGGTGCAAAGTCATCAAGACGGAAATGAAGAAGTGTGCATGTTGACAAAAATCAAAGTGGCTGCGCAAACCTCTCTCTTTTCTAACTTCCCACACCGTGAAGCCTTAATCCCCCCGAAAAACAAAACGGATCCCTGCGATGAGCCGCTTTCCTCATTTACGTCCAAACCTGAGAGACTTTGAGTGAAAAGAGCAGAGAAGCTTCCAGCAACATGCATGAAAGCCAGTGTTGTTTCCCCAACACGCTTCCTGCTCAGAGTCCCTTTCTAGGCCCTTAACGAGGGCCGTTTTACACTTGCCACATTGACCACAGATTAATGCTATGAATCACTACATCCTGTGAAACACTGATCTTTATAACACCATTCGTCCTCCGTCTAACGCTATCCATTATACCCATCTGTCAGTGCCACATTTCATCAGGCAGGAAATATTTTGGCTTGCTAGAGCCATCAGGAGGAGGATGGACTGACTCATTACTGCTGCACTAATCTGATACTGTCACCACGCCACCAATCAGTGACCACGAATGTTTAGCTGCGTTTTTCAGGTCTGTTTTGGTCTAAATGAGCTGCTTGCTAACTTTAGCCTAGCCTAGCTTATAAAAGCTTAAAATCTGGCTCCTGTATCTGACTGAAAACTACAACATGCAGTCCAAAAAATTGAGACACAAAACAATGAAATAGAAAGTGAACAATGCAGAAATGGGATTATAATAGGTGGCGTATTTGGATTCTATTTATATTCATGTTGGGAGTTTTAAACTGAAATGGGAATTAAAAAGAGAAGAACATGTGGAAGTTGGAGCCCGGCGAGGTGAGGACCTCAAGCTCGCGCTGCTATTTTACAATTACAGCCCTCAATAACCAGCAAACGCTGGCGTTTTAAAGTCTGGCTGCTCAGATGGCCTGAATTCACACTTGTCAGTCATCCAACGCTTCGCCCATACACACACATACACATTCACATACGACACCATCCTTTAACTCAATTATGGTGTGAATTGGACCCCTGTTCACGCCGGTTTTTCACAGGGCTCCATCCCTCCTGTTAGATATGCTCTCCATTTGTCTTGCAGACACCTGCAGATCAGCATGAAAGGAATCGCTGCTTTGATCCTGGACGTGTAATATACTCAGGCGGACACGTGCGCCTTGTGATCCCAACGTACGCACGCCCAGCGTGTTCAAATATCTTTGCACAGCGAACCATCAAAGCCGCGAAAGACGGCAGAGGTTAAAGTAGCAGCAGACCCGTTTCAACTGCAGCTACTTCCAACTTAAACTAATAATAGTACAGATGAAACTGTGCAACAGGATGCCCGCGACAGATGGCGGGGGAGTTTTTAGGAGATTATTTAAAAAATAAGTTACTGAAATCGGTGACTCACCTCGGTGCTCCTGGGAGGCAGGGCGCACGATTGGCCTCCAGCATTGCTTTCAAAGACCTGAAACCCAGAGACAGACAGTAAGAAGTACAGACAGAGGGGCACCACGCTGACTGACTCATGAGCCATTAGCACCTAGCCATCTCAGCAACACACATATTAAACACACACGGTGCTTTTATGCAGTTAATTAAAAACTACGCATGGCGAGTGCAGCGCTTTGATACTGCTTCCAAACAGGGTCTGTGGCCTTTGAAGGTGCATTGGTGGAAATGTGCAGTGCGTGAGTGAGTGGAGGAAATGTGTGTGTGGACACTGAGTGTTTTCTGTGTAGCAGAGAGATCAAAGGGGGGTGTCTGAAAGCAGAGGGGAGGGCCAGCTCCCACCTATCCGTCTCCACATCCTCAAAGTTCTCTGGCTCCCCGAGTCCGTCCTGCCTGTCTGTGATTGGGAGGCGTGTTGCTAACCCTGCGGCCTCAGAACGTTTCAACAACTCTATAATACGCCGTGACAGAGCTATCCGTTATGAGGGCGTGCCTCGAGTCCTCGTTTAAGTGGACTGCAGTTATCAGGCTGTGCTCTGACAGTCTGTCAGCAGGCAGCAGAGACATGACAAGCAGCACAGCCGGCAAATTCAATTCACTATTTTGCTCCCCAAAAAGCTCCGACATGAAGTCAAAGGTGTTTGTTTTTGCTCACAAATTAAAGAGCTCAAGCGGACTTAGAGGGTCTACAGGACCAAGAAAATGTCTTTACAATCACAAAGAAACTTCCAGCTCTTGTTCTGCTAATAAGACTCTGCGTCTCTCCGCAGCATGAGGACGTTTATAAAATAGCTGTAAATGGTGCCGCTTCACTAAAAAAGCCGGCTTATTTTAGAAAGCTTTAACAACTCTTCCACAAATCCTCGGACCTTTCTGGCCTACTTCCCACAAACGACTGGCGGCCAGCTCCTTATGATCCAGAGCTCCGCTAAGGCGGATGAGAGAAGAGAAAAGGGGAGAGCAGGGGGGATGACTTTGGGGGAAGGTTGTGGAGTGTGCCATCAAAGTGGTAAATGGGATTTAGGCTTAGTCAACACACATGAGTCAGTATGGAGACTGTGGGAGAAGCACCGCCAGCTCTGATGTTTATGCTCTGAGAAATGGGGGCGGCTGGAGGGGGGAGAGGGACAACAAATGGTGATAGAAATTAGGGAACCGCACAGTTTAAGAGATGGAATAAATTAAGGAGCTTGGAGAGTGCTTTTAAACTGGTAGATGGAGAGAAACCCTTGGAGATGGCACGTTTGGGAGAACCTGAGGAGCGCATGAAGACGTATCACTCGTCAGCCCAACTTGCGGAAATAGCCAAGGAGCCGATGATGTCATGTTTGTGACAGCGACAGTTGAATTTCCCACAGAGAATCACAGAAAACCAAAACTCGTGCCGCACTGACCCCCTCGCTCTGGGAAAAAGATTAAGGAAAATAGCAGATGTCCAGGAAACCCCAGCATTCAGAAAATCCCTCAGAGCGCTTAGCAGCCATTAACTGTTCATGATTAGCTTCTAAGTAAAGACGAAAACACCAGAAAACACTAAAAAAAGAGCTCGTGGGCAAGAGGAAACCGGGTGCGGGGGGGGGAATAAAAGGAGGCTGTTTAATATTTAGCGTCTTTACACCAACCATCTGCTGGTGTCTGCGGGGCTGAGGAAACCGTGGAGAACGCCATCTACCACATATGGCTTTTAATAATTCATGTGTGCTGCAGCGCCACCTCGGCCTCCTGCACTGTGAAATGTAACTGGGCCTCATTAGGCCGGCTGGCTGGAGTCCCCCCAGAAAAATAATAACACATACACGCATACCTAGCCGGTGACAGACGTGCGCAAATGCACGAGCATAAATATCACAGAGCAGGTGGCGGGATAGATGAGCCTGACGAGAGCAGGCGAAACAGGACAGGCGCCGTTTTGCTCGTAGTCAGGAGTCGGGGCTCGCCTACCGGAGAGCCGCGCTCGGGAAACGTTGGACGCCACGCTGACATTACGGCACAAAGAAACACAAAGTTACATTCCTCTGCTTTATTAGAGTCTCGACTAATGAACAGGGGTCCATAAAATTACACAAGTGTTTCCTTTGGTGATGCTTAAAATAGACCACCAAGGCTCGTCTCCAGGGCCGTATCTGCAGGGTACAGAGCGGTGGATTTCTGTATCAATAAATAACCAGCTTGCATGAGTCTAATTACTAACCTGAGAGGATTTAGATGCCCCCCCAATGCACCTGGGTGAGGAATGCTCCCTTGTGTTTACGTTGATGGGAGGTTTGCGCTCAGCCTTACAGGAAAGCAGGAGGGATGTGAGCTTATGCGCTTTTCATTTAATAAAGACTCCTCTGGGGGAGGAGGGGAAATGTGCAGAGAGCGCTGCGTGACTAAAACAGTCTCTAGCTATTTCTTTCACATTAACAAAGGCACTGCACATGCGAGCGAGCGACGAGCCAGCATGCTTTCAGGTTGCTCCATTAACGAACGTGCACACTGTGCACTGAAGGCGGGAGCATCGGGACTCTTTCTCCTCATGTACAGTAGACGTGAACACTGCCTGTAATCATGCACGTTCATGTCGTTTATGAGGTTTTTTAGTGAATTTCAGATAAAAAGAAGAATCAGTGCATTAATGTTTAACCCGTTTAATTCTTTCTTTAAACAGAATTTTATTAAAACATCTTCAGATGTCTGTGTGTTCGTGAATACCTGCGAGACAGAAGGTCTCTTGTCACGGCCTCTCCTCGTGAGGTTGTCGAGGCCTTTCAGGGAGGAGAACAGGCCTCTTTTGCGCTGTCTGTGAGTCAGGGACAGGGAGCGCCTCCTGACTGTGGCTTCGTCTCTGGAACAGATCTGAGCAGATACACTTTATCAGCACTACGATCATATTTCTCAACAGAAATTCCATCTAATCAAACCATCTTAATTAAGTTCATTTTCCTCCCGTGATGCACAAAGCGAGCGTTTGCACGCTGCAATATACTACACTGAATAAAGAGTTTTCAAGGTTACTGCTAGACATCAAGTAAATCCAAACGTCCCATTCAGAAGCGTCAGAGTCGCCTCTTTATGTATTCCTTACCAGTGCGTGAAAGGAGGAGACTGAGAAAATCCCCAGGCGTCCCAGGGTGGTTTTGGTGGGGCGGCTGGCGATGGCGAGCAGGCTCTTCGGGTTGGGCAGCTCTCCGCCCTGCAGACTTGCGAGGTAGCAGCGCATCCTGAAGAGATCCAAGTTGAATCTCTCCAGGTTCTGCTCCCACTGCTGGATCTGAGGGAAAAGGAAAGACGCGCTTGGTACAAGATCTGAATTTGAAATTGGTGTTTGGTAGGTGAGCGAGCAGAAGAGCGCTGGGGGAAATAATAATGGAGGAGTTGAGGGGCGGGGACGGAATGAAAGAGGGGGATCCAGGGTCAGTCTGGAGCTTTTCAGGGAGCTGCGATTGCTTGCAGATGTTAGTGGAGGGTAAAGGCATAAGTTCTGTGGAGGTTTGATAGTGAAGGATGACTGCATATGGAGCAGACGAGAG